TAATGAGTTATTGATATTCCACCGGTTTTCACACCATTTAAGGAACTTTATCACTGCATTAGAACAGACCACCCAAAGGTACTGAAGTAGGAACCATAAGTGATGAAATTCTCCAATTGTTGTAACTGACCAAAATCTTCTCCCAGAAATGACTGTCTGAAATGCCGTATCCCAGAGTAGATGTTTGATGGTATCATGGAACTAAAACCTTGTACGCAGTCTTGCCACAGGATTGGACTGGGACCTGTGCACTTGTACAGCCAGTGATGTTTTATATGCAGTACCAATGACAGTGGGGCAGTTAATCAACATGGCGAAACACCCCAAAACCAGTAGGGCTAAGAGACCAGTCAAAGGAGGGAGTTTAGGCTCCACAGTGTACAAGGATAGCATAGGGGTGCCCAGGGGAGTGCTAGATGTTGTAGTTGCATTCCATGTACCCGCACCCTAACGTACCGATTGATCACCACGGCCTTTTATAGAGAACATATTACTTTCATACTTTAAAAAGTATGAAAGGGGGGAGGGTACATTTCTCATAAGGGAACAGTTTCAATTGCTAGCAGCACAAGACGACTCAACCCATATACAGATATTGATGAAAATGAAGACAGTGTGTAAATGATGTTAAATGATATGGATGATAAATGATGAGATTGTTCAAAGAATGTCCAAATCATGTGATATTTCAAATGATGAAATCATTAGAATGAAGAACCAGCTACAAAGTGGTATTACTTTGCACTATTCCAAAAAGGTTTCTAACTTTTATGTTTTATACTGTTATTAGTGATGCGATTTTTAAATAGTATGTTTTTATACTTTGTAAAACAAGTGCCTTAACACTGAATGTGGTATGGGAACGGTTTCTGTGAAAGGAGGGAGTAAGAAATGTTCTAATACCACAAGTTGCTGCTATTTTAAAAAGTGATATTGAATGTTAAAACTAAAAGTTATGCACAAGGGAAAACTTTTACACCAGAAGACCAACCAATGTATTGTTTGTATTTTTGATGACGGTTATTTGTACCATTCCATTTTGATAGTATGTTTTTGATATGAGTTATGTACTATGCAAAGTTCAGATGAAGAACTCATTGATTTCAGTATTGTGTTCACACCTTAAAAGGTGTGAAAGGAGGGATTGTTAGAAATTAAAATCAATGTTTTATGGCATGATTTAGTCTAAAACATACCGTCAGTTTAAAAGCAGTCAGATGAAGAACTCATTACTTTTAGTATTGTGTTCACACCTTAAAAGGTGTGAAAGGAGGGATTGTTAGAAATTAAAATCAATGTTAAACAGCATAATTCAGTCTAAAACATATCGTCAGTTTAAAGCTGTTTTATTGTGGAAAAGCCCGGAAGTTCTCAGGAAATCAATGCCAAGCTTTTATTCTGAAAATCCTTTATCCGGTTAGCATGTGACTAATGTTGCGTTTTCTGAATGTAAAGTGAAAATGACTTGGAGTGTTACACACAAACGTACGGACTTTAACACTACATCGATAGACGTTAAGATATTATTACTGCTGAATATTAAATGAAGGTACAGTTGATCATGGAGTGTTTACACATTACGTGAGTAGCTATGACGTCAGAGGGAGCTACCGTAAATGAGAACTGTGCCATAAAGGCGTTTTTAGGACTTCTAAACTAACGATTACAGCTGTTTATAAGGTATTAAATAGAAAGTCATGACAGAGATAAGGAGGAGAAAATGCTTAAGGAAGTAGGCAGAGAATCGAAATCATCTGTTCTCGCGATATCGAACCAAAACAGATGAGAAGGGCGGTCCCACTATCTGCCCAGCGGGAGACAATGAGACGAGGATAAAAACAGATGAGAGACGACGACTCGCTCTCTTTCCTTCGCTGCAGCCCACCCTGAAGACATCACCGGCTTTGTCTCTCCATTACCCATGCTTGTTCTTTAACCACGTTACTTAATTAAACTACCCATTTGAACCTTTTCAGAGACTCCATTAGTCTCTTCATTCTAAGCTCCTCTCCTGGGCGCGAGAACATCGAATACTCTAATACAGTGGTTCTCAACTGGTGGGTCGCGACCCAAAAGTGGGTCGCGGACCCGTTTCGAGTGGGTCGCGGATGTGTGAGTGAAGAAAAAAAAGTTGGAAAAAGAAAATTGGATTTTTTTTTTTTTTTTTTTTTGGGGGGAAAAAGTCAAACTTTTATTTTGAAGGCCCGATTTTCTTCTCAGAGTGTACCAGAATGCGTAGTTTATGTTAGTATTTCTAAAAATCTTCTGGGGGAGAATCCCCCCAGACCCCCCTGCTGGGGTTGGGTTTCAGCATGTGTGCCTTTTTATATAGTTCAGCTTTGATTCCATCATCTCATTAAACCTTTTTTAAAAGCATACTTTAGTTCTGTGAAGGGATATAAGGGATATATGCACTGTACTTCAATTTATTTTATTAATATTGTATGCTCAAAAGCGTATATATATATTACAGCACGATTTTTTGTTGAATAGATTTGAGTGCTTCAAAATGTTGGGTCGCGATGTATTGACCAAGTAAAAAGTGGGTCCCGAGGCCTGACCAGTTGAGAACCACTGCTCTAATACATCCCGATAGCAATGAATACATTACATGCTTTGACAATAAATATATACAAATATTTCATCTGTGGAAGCCGTGGCGCTGTAAAAAGCACGACCAATTATCTGCCTCGGCCCGCGGCAGATAACTGGATGGCCTACCTGCCTGTCAGCCTTCCATCTCGAGCACAAACTTATCTCGTGCCCTCATTGGTCATGTGCGCGTTCGTGTGTGTTGGAGGAGGGGCTCTGCAAGGAAGTCTGAAGGAAGGGGCAGATTTTTTTCGGTTGTGTACTTCCAAATTCTAGCGCACTCGAGCTGGTTTCTCCATTCTTACCTACCCTAACTTTAATCAATTATTAGAAATATATTTGAAAGAATCTTATTGTGAATGAAATATGAGAAAAAGTCAGTCAACAGGACCTGGAAATGATTTTAGTCCACTCTACGTGAAACATTATATATGCTCACCACTCAGTTCAACTGAATGCTGCTAACACTCTGGATCAGCATCAGGGATCCTGAGCTACATCCCATTTCTTATCATCATCATCATCATCATCATCATCATCATCATCATCATCATCATCATCATCATCATCATCATCATCATCATCATCATCATCATCACTGCCAGCCTAAAGCCACACAGTGCAGTGCTACAGGACACCACAGGATCAACAATACGTACTAATCCTGAACTGTGCCTTGACTTTGTGTCTATGACATCTACAATCGCATAAATGCTGTAAAGGCCGTATGTGGACAGTTAGCAGTTAGCATGCCTCTAGCATCCTTACAGGCAGATATACCAGAGGCACTGAGCACAGTGGGAATCAGCCAAGCCCCCGGGATGAGAGCTGGACGTTAAAGCAGATGTTCCAAGTGGCCTAATCGTGGTACTACAATTTCTGCCTGTGGCGCCAATAGGCAAAAAAATACTATTTCACATTGACTTGCATAGGGAAAAAAATAAAGGTAAATCAACTACCCAGTTTGAACACCTGAATAGCCCCTATTTAAAGCATCAGGTTTTAAAAGTCTTAGAATGCACTAAAAGAAGAATTCAGCTTTATTTCGCTATCCATTCATTTGACTAAGACAAGACTGGCAGATTGGAGGTGGGGCTTAATGCAAACTCAAGCGCTCTATTGGTCCAAGACCCCGGATAAAGTGGTCCCGCCTCCAAAGCTTTATCCAGTTCTCTTTATACATCCATGGCAGCTAGTTCACTGGCATTATTGAAACTGATGGGGGGATTCACAGATAATTGATTGCGGCCGCTGTTAGCACTATGGGTTGTGCATCGTTTGCAACCGTTTTAATTTTACAAATAACAAAGTTTGCCAAAAGTAAGTCAACTTGTGATATGATGCAAACCCCTGGAAATGTGGTTATCAATTAATTTGACTATTTTTAGATATATAATTAGCCTTTTTTGATCGTAGTCGTTTGAACTAACAAAACTCAGGTTCATTCGACTTTTATTTAACTTCGCTGAATTGGAAGTGATAAAGACCCCTGCTTTGAATCCTCATGGAGTGGTGGATATCTTCAGCTTTAAAAGACTGTCGTCAAGTGTCGATCATCACGTTGTGAGTCTATAGACGGTTTGTAGTAAACAGATTCCGTATGCCGTTTGTTTTGTAGAAGCAGACGACAAACTGTGATTTTCAGAGCATGTGGAACTCGCGTTTAGTTTCATGTGTCGGTACAGTAACAATAATTTATGGTTGTGGTGCCTGAGGTGTTACACGTTTACTATTGAAAAATAAGACTAGTGAAAAGACCTATATATATATATTAGGGCTGTCAGTCGATTAAAAATATTTAATCTCATGAATATTAAACACAGCAACCTAGTCTGAACATTACAAATATTCGCCTCAATTCAACCTGGAACCTCTCTCATACAATAATACAATTAAATGTGTGTGTGTGTGTGTGTGTGTGTGAATGAATGTGGAGACACTGTGATGGATCGTTGGAGCTATGTGCAGCTCAAGGCATATATGCTCGAACGGGAGCCTGGACGCTGCAATCATGTTGCGCGCACTATCCGTGCTGAGCGTGCTGACTTTTCGTACAATGTCCCACTGTCTGGCTACCTGCATAAAGTCAAGTGCTCGGCACAGTTGTCGGCGAAATGTCGCTCCTCTATTTTCATTGAAACAGCTCCTTATATCCGTTAGCGCAGCTAGCTAGGACCATATGCTAACAACAACAACAACACGTAAGGTTATTAACGCGTTAACTTGACAGCCCTAATATATATATATATATATATTATTTTATATATATATAAAATAATATATATATATTCTGTCCCCTTGCTTTTACTTCCCTTTATACGGAAGCCCCGAGATATAAGTGAGAGAAAAAATGTGATGATCAATTTGTTTTACAATTTTATTTTTTTATGATTAAAAAAATATCTGAAAAGAAGTTGTCTCTAGGCTTCCGTACACACACTGCACAATTAACACGTGCAAACCAAACTATTCAACTCTGGCAAGGCTGTTAAATCATGTCTGTTGATAGTAGCTGGTATACACATTACTGTTGTAATCTATGTCGAGAAGAAAGGAAACTCAATATACTGTAAAGAGGATTAATTTTGAAATGAAACAGTGAAAAAGACAATTTGTACTTATTTTTGTCATTTTAGAAATTTTATTGTTGGTCAGTTACATTGCAAATTGTATGGTAGTGATGTATCAATCTATCTTTTTTTATTTACTGGTACAGCAGAACACACAGTATAACACACCACACTCACCAACAACTGTCTCTCAGAAATTAAATCCTGGATGCAAACAAACTACCTTCAACTGAACAGCGACAAATCAGATATTATCATAATCGGACCCACATCCCGCACCAACACCACCCAGAACTTCAACCTCACCCTTGACAACGCCACACTAACCCCCTCTCCTCACATTCGCAACCTTGGAGTAATTTTTGACAGCCAGCTCAAATTCGATAAACACATAAACCACATCACCAGGACTGCCTTCTTCCATCCTCCGCCCCTCACTCTCCTTCCCGGCTGCTGAAACCCTCATCCACGCATTCATCACTTCAATACTGGACTACTGTAACAGCATCCTGTATGGCTCATCATCCAACATTCTAAATAAACTGCAATATATCCAGAACTGCGCAGCCCCTCCTCACCCACACCCGCTCCAGAGACCACATCACTCCCGTCCTTCAAAACCTGCACTGGCTCCCTGTCCGTCAACGAATACACTTCAAAATCCTTCTGCTAACACACAAAGTCCCCTACCTCACCGACCTGATCCACCACCAAACCCCTTCCCGCAGCCTTCGTTCAGCAGAAGCGAACCTCCTTTCTATCCCCACACGAACCAAGCTCCGAACCTGGGGGGACAGAGCCTTCTCCATCGCTGCCCCCACCCTCTGGAACTCCCTTCCACAACACATCAGAGACTGCATCGACCCCCCCCCCACCTTCAAAACACCGACCAAAACACACCTCTTCAGACTGGCTTTTAATTTGTGAATTATGTTGTGTTGCTGTTTTAATATTTTTGTTATTCTATTATAATATGTGTTGCTGTTTTAATATTTTTGTTATTCTATTATAATATGTGTTGCTGTTTTAATAATTTTGTATTCTATTATATCTCGTTTTATCACCACTGTAAAGCGTCTTTGAGCACCTGAAAAAGCGCTTGGAAATTAAATGTATTATTATTATTAAAAACAGAACTGTTACACAATATCTCTGTCTGCTTTTCTTCACCTCAGCGGGTTTTAATGTGTAGGTTCCAGTGTCCAGGAGAGACTGATTATTGCTTCATTAACAACAGTTACAGGACAATGGATCGGCAAGTAGAAACAAAAAAGAAAATAAAAAGGAGTAAAAACAAATGAAGACAGTCTAAGAAAAAAATGAACGTCTACAAGTTTCTTTCTCCGACGCATTGATTCTGCCAAGTGAGTTACAGCTTGTTGATGACGTCACCTGGAAGAGAAAACGTTGTGTTATTTACCTGTGGACTACACACATTTACCGTTTCAATATGACACTTACAGAAACCCTAGTTTTGAATTCCACTAGGCACAACAGTAAGAATGAAGTCATCACAGATCTTAACAATGTTACTTACTCTGCACAGGGGGAGCTGTACTCAGTGACCGCCTCATCACCTGCAAATATCAACACAAACATCAGAAACAGGGTGAGTAATACGAGGGAGGAAATACGTTGTATGGAAGCCATGAGAAGTTAGTAATAAAATGTTTAATTTGTTTTCCCTTTGCTGTTTTTATGACTTAGGAAAACCTTTGCTAGGAAAATGTTTTAAGTTCCTATTTCTTATTTTATCTGTGACAGAAGTCTTACCAGGTGAAATTAAAAGTTGGCCAGGATAAAACATTTTTAGAATGTGTTGTTGTTATTCTTATTTTGGGCTCAAGAGGCAGGAAGTGAACCATATGAATCAGACATGTTTCCTTTCAGGTATATGCTCCCTGTTTTTAGAGTGCTTGGAAAAAAACCATATAAATCCAAATGATAAATTGGATCACAAGGGGAAAAAATTATAAATTATAAATCTTGCCTCTCAGGGCTTCCGTACATTTAGTTAACTTAAAGAAACTGAGCATCACATACATTACAAACTAAGTAACCATGAAGCTCTTACTTGTCTGGTAGTAATCGTAGACTTTGACCACAGCTGGTTTCAGATTCCCGACAGGAACATCCTCCTCCAGTGTCACACTGTATATCAGCGTCTCATCCTTTTTCAACTGCAACCACAAAAGAACAAACTCATACTTTACTATTGACTTTATCACAAGCTCTGCACACAGGTCGTAATGGTTTAAATAAATGATACAAAATAAAGGCTTAATTCATGCATATCTGAGGCACACAGTTGGTGCTTCCTACCCCGTCTAAGTAGATGTTGATGTATCCTTCGTCCAGATCCACACGCTTCACTGAGCGGTCGCTCTTCAGCTAAAAATAAGCACAGAACACACAGCTATCAGTATACACCAATATAAAAATATACTATGTAGTATGAATTTGCTACAGTCTTACAGTCTGATAGTACTGCACAGACTACATGTGTATTAAAGTATCTAAATATGTGCCATTCAGTGGAAGAACTGACCAGCTCCAGGGAGCTCTTATCCAGAATGTATCCAGACAGCAGCTTGATGTTGATGATCACCATGTTGGTTTCCTCTCTCCTGCCCTGGTACCTACACACACACACACACACACACACACACACACACACACACACACACACACACACACACACACACACACACACACACACACACACACACACACACACACACACACACACACACACACACACACACACACACACACACACACACGATAACTAACTGTTCACAGTTTTTGTTTTTTACAGTTCAAGGAGCATTGAGATGTTCTTTTGGTATGATTGAATATTTGCGACAATATTTGTACCAACATATACAGTGGTGGAGAGGTTTGAATCTGATTGATTGATTCTGTGGACAGGTGTCTTTTATACAGGTAACAAGTTGATATTAGGAGTCTTTTTTAAAGGAAAAGGACTTCTGTAAGCGGTCTGTGGGAGAAAGAATCCTTGTTTGTTGCAAGGGGATACATTTCTGGATTTTTTTTGATATTCTGTCTGTCATTAGTAAAAATAAACCTACCATTAAAATGATAGACTGTGGGTGAATTTACAAAATCGGCAAGGGATCAAATTATTATTTCCTTCACTGTATTACTGAAACTAAAAGGTTTCCAATCTCTATTACAGCTAACACACAAACACACACTGTACCTGACATGCACAAAGAGGATGAGCTGGGGCCTGTTGATGTTGCACTTGGTCTTGGTGTTGGTGGTGATGCTGAAGGCAGAGAAGTCGGGGGGAGGGGGGATGTTGTAGTGCATGGAAATCTGAGAGAGACAGGTCATCAGAGTCAATACACAGTACAAAGGAACAATACGCTTTGATCAAATATTCCAGTAACTTAAAAAAAAAAAACACATCTGTAGCATTACAATATCATACACTGCTTTTACTTCTTAGTTTACATCAATTTTAGCCCTTTGTGTTGCGAGGCTCTTCTTTTTCTCGTCCTTCGAGGCCCCCCGTACCAAGACCCCAGTACCCAAGTGCGCCGGACGCTCATGCAAATATTCGTAGTGGCCAAACTGTGGTTCTACAACTTCTGCATCATTGGGCCCAATATTACTTTTCCCCATTGACTTACATTGGGAAAGAGATGTCTGTAAATCAGCGGATCATTTAAAAATAAATAAATAAACAAACCAGTATGAACACTTGTATAGCCCCTATTTGAATCCTTAGGGTTTTAAAATGTGTAAAATGCGCTAAAACCTGAATTCAGTTTGATTTTCTCTCTCCATTCTACTGAGCAGAGAGAGGGAGATCGGGGGCGGGGCTTAAGGAGAACTCAAGTGCGCATGCTCTATGAGCGTACATACGGGCACTTTGCTCTCGACAGGCGGGCATGACGGGTCATTTGTGACATTTTGCTCTCGAGAGCATCAGACCATTTGGGCTCCATGCGCCACGCTCACAGGAATGAAGGAGGCCCCTCTTCCGACGCAGTATCCAGTTCTCTTTATACACCCATGCCCCGTACCTGTGCCAGGACGCAGCTCTGGCCCTGGGCCCTGATGGTGTATTCTCCGGGGACCTCGCTCAGCTTCTGCTCCTGGTACAGCAGCCTGTTGCTCTGATCCACCCTGAACTCTGTGTTCAGGCCTCCCAGCGAGGTCACAGTCACCGCCGTGTTGCCCTCCGGTCTGTAGGTGGCCGCGCCGTACTTAGCCAGGGCCTGGAGGGCCACCACCGTGTCCTGAGGGAGGGAGGGAGGGGTTACAGGAGGAACAGAAATGTTGGTTTAAAGGTGTTTTAAATGTAACCTTAAAATATGTTTTTATCGAGATCTACACTACATCAGGATTACATGTTAAAAAAAAAGAAGTTATAGGATGAAGTGTTTGTTTTTCTGGAGTCTGTGGAAAGAGAAACAAACTGACCTGGGGTTGTCAGGCAGAAATGGAAGAGGTACTCAGAATTGATACTTTTTGTTGTTGTTTATACTATAAGTAAAAGCAGTGATACTCAATTGTAAAAATACTCTGTTACAAGTAAAAGTCCTGCATTCAAGATCTTACTTAAAGGGGACCTATCATGCAAAATGCACTTTAGTACGTCTTTTATACATGAATATGTGTCCCCGGTGTTCCAGGGAACTCACCAAGTGTCAGAAAACACAACCCTCTCTATTTTCCTCCATACCCAAATCTCTAAAAAAGGGGCTGCAACGGATCTGATCAAAACTGATCCAGATTTGAACACTTTACTGACGTCAGGAAAGTGGCGCTACGGCTATTGAGCCAACTCCACCAATCAGGAGGAGACAGCCACGGCCATTGCCGTTCGAAAGTGCTGGAGACGCTGTAGTACATATGCCACGCCTGTAAGTGGCGCTGTAGTCTGCCACAAAAGCAGCGAAGAAGACTTGGTTACCATGGTTACCCTTCTGTTTATTCTCCGCTGTGGCTTTTTTTTTCTCCCTCCCCGAGGCAAGCGTTTGCTCCCGCTGCTTTAATGCAATGCAATCCCTCCCCGTCGAGGCAAGCACTGTAATTCTCTCCGGTTAGTTCACCAGCAGATGACAAACACCCACCTCTCCGCCTCTTCCAAGGAACGAGGGGACCGTGCGGCAGAGTTTCAGTTTCAGTTACTTTCGCCGGTCAAGATGTCCATTAAAGTTTAAATCTTCCGGACAAAATTAGAAAAGTGCCGGTCAAAGGTCTTCTTTGTTATTTATTGAGCTTTAAAACAAATGAATAACGACTCTATATAATAAAACAGGGAGATCTCTTTTTCTCCCCCTCTTCTGACAGCCCAGCAGCTGATCAGAGCACGTCTCCCCTCTCCTGCAGGGGGGCGTGGTCAGCAGAATCAGACCCGTAGACAGCAAACAACACATAGAGCATGAAATGAGGCATGGCTAAAATGCATGATCTGTTTGGTATTTTGAAAACAGAAATGTATAAATATACCTTATATAGGTATGGCCTTACAATATATCATTTAAATATAGCATGATAGGTTTCCTTTAAGTATATTTTGATCCCAATATTTTTGTATCCAAGGTGTTAAATGGTAACTGATAGTAATCATTTTGTATACTGCTGCTGAATATCTTAACCTATATTAGCTTATAGTGTGTATTCAAAGTAACTAGTAACTTAAGCTGTCAGATAAAGAGAGGAGTAAAAAGTACCACGTCTGCTTCCAAAAAATAGTAGAGTAGAAAACTCAGGTAAAGTAAAAGTACCTGCCATCAGGTCAACATTTTGAGAAACCCCTCGGAGTATATGTCTAGGGTTTTATAACGGGTACCTGGTCTGTGGGTGTTTTACGTTCCGTATGTGTTTTATAGTTGAGTGGTGCTCACTCATTAGGAGGGTGCCATCATTGCAAGCATTAACAGATTTTAGCAGGATTAATATACTAATTACTATTTTTGTATGCAATTGTTGCCTCAATTAACTCTCTCTAGACAGCAGCTGATTTTTACGTTGCTACGCCAGGTGTCACTAAGAAGAGTTTTCCCATAAGCCACCTGTGTGTGATGTGTGTTACCTGTGTGGAAGAGAAGCCCCCGTACGGGTTCTGCTGCTGGACCAGCCAGCGCACGATGCTGGAGGAGTAACCCAGGCCGAAGTCTGGCAGGGCCGGACCGGAGAGCAGAGCCAGCAGGACGTAGGAGGTCATCTCCACCTCCAGAGAGTCCAGGCCTTTCCCAGAAGCCCCGGCTCTCTCCCAGTGACGGGAGCCGCCTGTCAATCAGAACAGTGGATTCATCCTTTAGAAGGTAAGCAATGACCGACCCTGTGCACTAGCTCGGTGTGCTAGAATTTGTAAGAGAACTTTTAATCGTCATTTGGCAATGTTTTTAAATGAAGGTGGATAATCCTTAATGGAGGCTGAACTGCATGTTCTAAAAACTAAAAGCATTCATGTTTTCTTCAAGGTGAGTTCTGATTTCTCGTTGCACTTCAAACAGAAGCTATATTGTCTATTCTATGTCTTTCTTGTGACTACAAATGCATTTTAATCTGTGCTTATCTGTTCAGTCTTATTGGCTCTTATGGCTAGAATCCGTATTAAAACAACAATATCCTGACAAAAAAGAAATCTATTATTCCAACATTTCATTTTTAACAGTTTATTTCTTTTCAACTGCCTTCATTGCTTGAAAAAACTGCTTTCACAGAGTTCAGGCTTTCCACTTTAACTAAAATGTCACTTACGTTTAACAATGACTTGCAATCTGACGTAAAGGAATATTAAAGTAGTTAAAGAGAAATATGAATGTGTTCAAGGCTTACACTACAACATCTACTTCCTTTCAGCACTTCCATTTTAACAGTTATGCTGATTTCTTTCAATATTTAATTCTGGCTACTATTTGAACTTCGCAGTTTTTTTAATACTATGTCATGCTACAAATTCAGCTTTAGTAAAACATTTATCAATGAGACAGTGTTGTCAGAGGTCTAGCATTAACTTAGATTAAGGAGAAAAACGGAGGTTCAGATGTTGCCGATTCCACCGTCTTACCCTGCGTGTTGGACTTCTGGTTCAGGTAAGTGATGAGTTTGATCCTCATCTCCTCGTCTCCAGCCAGAGTGAAGGTGTAGGACAGCAGCGCGGTGGTGTACAGGTTTTCTTCTAGCTCGGAGTCCACTGATGCCTTCAGACAGCTCAGGCACCTCTGCACCACGGGGTCCTGTCACACACCCAGCACCCACACAGAGGAAACAATGAGCAGCAGAATATAAAGGAGGGAGAGAACTGTATCAACCACAATAATCACTGAGTATCAACCACAACAATCACAGAGTATCAACCACAACAATCACCGAGTATCAACCACAACAATCACCGAGTATCAACCACAACAATCACCGAGTATCAACCACAACAATCACCGAGCCTTCGCAGCAGCTGGCCCTAGGTTCTGGAACACTCTGCCCCTCCATGTGAGGTCGGCCCAGACCCTAGGGGTTTTTAAATCTACTCTTAAGTCACACTTCTTCTCCCTGGCCTTCTAGTCAGAGCGGAGCACGACTCCTGACTTTTCCCTGTGTTTTTTATATATCTGTTGTAATTTATTGTCTTTTATTGTGATTGTAGTAATGTGTTTTTATTACATGCACAGCACTTTGGCTCGACCAAAAATCGCTTTTAAATGTGCTTTATAAATATGCTTTATAAATAAAACCTGATTTGATTTGAACAATTAACCATATTCATTTTCTATACGAATTTGAAGTCATTTGAACGGAAATATTCAAACACAGCCTATTTCAAGATGAAGAGTAAAAAAGAACACAAGTGCACATCTCTGAAAGATAATAGTGAAAGATAAAAAGCAATGACATCCACTCAATATTGATGATAGTGCATTTTTTGTAAAATTCCAAAAATGTTGTGTGAGACTACATGTGTTAGGGTAACACTTTAAGTAATAGATCAACATTTACTTTTTCCCCTGTTAATTATTTACAATAAGATATTCCTTTTTAATGACAAGTTGCCACATTTTTGTTGAATTAAAAAGAAATCCACACTAAGAAATTTACAAAGTTATACACAAATAAACACCTGTGTATTTTGGATGTTTTGCTCTCAAAATTGTCTGAAAAGGTGAAGTTATGGGAGCAAATAGCCCAACGTTTTAATATTTACCAAGGCATGAAAACAATTGTTAGTGTTTGACTTAATAATTAATCTAAAGGATCCAGGTTGCAGAATATTTACAGTAAATGTATCATTGTTGCAGTACAAGCACTTATCAGACGAACATCATATGATAACATTTAAAATCAGGAATGCAACAGTGAAAGTTCATCAGAGTTCGAGTTGTGACCGAGACTCACCAAGGTGTTTGTGTCGAGCTCCAGCATGGCAGCTGTGATGTAGGCCGTCAGAGACACATCGTCACTCACTCCTCCCTGTTAGAAACATCACAGGAGGAACAGTCAGAAAACACACTTTTATTCATGTCACTGTCAATACTGGCAACTTAGAACTAAAAAATGCATGTACACACAAGTTGCTATTGCGGTTATGTTGAATACAATATTTATTTTCTAGGATCCTGCAAAAGCTGCACTAAACAGGTGTGGGATTCTTTACACTCAACACTATTTTATTTGACGTAGTAAACCCTTTTCTATCTACAACATTACAACCGGGGCTGCAGATCTTTATAACAACAAACCTTATCTCATTTGCATCCAAAGTGTACCCCCTTCTTGTGATGAAAGTGACAAAGGGTTACGGTATTTAAAGTGTATGATTAAGTTAGATGTTCAAAATGTATTAAAGGTGTTACAAGGTGAATGTGCCATGTATTCAGCAGCGAATGCTGAAGAACTTCCTAGATGGGAATCTCCGTGTGTGTGTGTGTGTGTGTGTGTGTGTGTGTGTGTGTGTGTGTGACTGAGAATAATCCATCGATCAACACAGTCATCAGCTGACATTAAGAATGATCTATTTTAAGAGCTTTTTATCCAATTCAACTACTTTCCAAAAAACATAGGTACCGGCATATGCCACACATCTTTCATTTATTTTGGTGTTAGTTGGCTTCATGACATGTTGTAGTTGGATAGGCTAGAAATAATTAGTTTGGGACTCTGCTATTAGAGTGTGCTGCTTGCAGGCAGGCCTGGGGCTATCATCCCTCCCTGCACACAGCTCTCAGAGACAACATGCAATTTTCTCCTCACATTGAATTAATTCTTTGGTTTATGTCTTACAGGAAGAAAATCACCCACGCAGAGCTCTAAACGACTAAAGGCAGATGTGAAACCCTATATTCCCAGCTAAAATGTCCAAGTTTCAGACTGATGTCGTCACCTTCATGCCGTTGTGGAAGAGTTTCCCCACAGATTGGATGCAGCCGTCAGGCCGCTGGAGTTTGGAGAGCCAGCTCCGGGCTTCTTGAATGCGCTTGTCTTCCACAAAGATGTACGGTTTTGCCCCGCCAAAGGACTTCATCACGAAAGAGGTCAGCCTGGAAGGATACAAACACAAAGTCTTTATAAACAAATCCAACCAAGTGGGCCTGTGTTCAGTTACCCCCAAATGAACCCTGCTATTCCTCGGAGCCCAGAATAAGGATGGGAAGTAAAATATCCACATATTATATTCTGATTAGTGCTGTACATAGATTCAAAAATGTAATTGTGGTGATCACAATAATAATCTGTGATTAATCACAATAATAATCTGTGTTTAACCACATTAATTTAAATATTAGTATTTACTTGGAATGTTTGGGGGGAGATAAAACAAATACATGTGCGGTTATAATAAAGAAATGCAAGTGGTAAGAGGGTTTCTCACTTTAATACAACATGATTTCTGAATTGTTGCCGGGAAGTTCGACAACTTCCCGACACTCTAAAACATCGGGAGCATTAATGTGGTAATGTGACATCCATAATTTTAATATTGTATTTCAGATGTAATGCGTCAAGAAATATTCACAATAATAGATATATTACATTACTAAGCATGTTGTCTTTCTAAACAGTATTGGTCAACCCTACTAATCTTTACATTGACCAAATTGTCTGTTAAAGGCGATTATTGCCATGTTGTTATATACTCAAAAAACATTCCCGCAGCTGTATTTCCAAGAGTAATGAAAAAATCTACACATAACCAAATGTGCAAATGTTCATATAAGATGCTGATAATAGTAGCTTGGAAATAAATCTATAATAAATATGATTTGACTATAGTAAGCCCTTTTTTTCAAGTTTATTAGACCATTCCACCCAATCTCTGTTTGGAATTCTAATTCAATTAAACACTTGAGAGCCCTACTTCCTGCTCACCACAAACACACACCCAGACACACCTCACTGACAAAAATGGGAAAATCCACGTTTAAAAAAGAAATGTGGAAAATTGCAAGGTCTAGTATTCTTTTGTGTATATGTGCTTTCTGTATCGGTGAAATTAAAAACACACCATTTGTATTATTATTTTTGTATTATATAAATTATATTTATTATTTGTATTAATGTTACTATTTTGTCTTATTCTTAAATATTTCATCTAATTTACGTTGCACCTTTCAAATGTATTTTCTTTCAATTTGGTTGTTATTTCTTTGTACAGCCGTCTTGGTTTTTTAATAATTTAAAATGTATAAATGACACATCACAGAACAGAATATTTATTTAAAAATAGTAATGATAAAAATGCCTCTTCTAATTAAAACATTTGTGTTGTGCTATATCCCAACAAAAAATAAATTACAAAATAAGGCACCAAAGATCTTCTTATCTAAAAGATATGACACTGGTTTTGCCATCAGCTGTTAATACATATAGAAAATGTTAGGGCTATTACAAGTCATTAGCTTTATCCTAATCATCATGTCGTTACAGATGTTGAGGAGCGTTACTGACCAGGTGTTTCCAGACTTATCGCTATTTCCGAAGGCGCTGTAGGAGCCGTCGTCGTGCTTGTAGGTAAGCTCCCTCTGATATCCTGCAACAATCACACACACATTTACGAAAAAGTCAGCTTTGCAGACAGACAAAAACAAAAGAATAAGAGTGCTGGGGGGCTACACTGGTGAGGCCCAGTTGTTTCACATGCTGGTGAGACGATGATACAATCCCAGCAGGCTGCTTTAAATAATACATCAAGAGTCTGACGGCCTATCAGATGTCAGAATACTGCACAGCATTTATAATACTTGGAGACGAGATTTAGACTAACTTTTTATTTTTTTCAAGATGAATGAGGTGACATTCATGTAACATAGGGATCTACTGTCTGATGCAACACCTTGTGAACTATTTTCCACTTTCACTGTCTGTCAAAGATGGCACTCACCGCTCTCTAGGAAGCGTGTGGCTTTGTCCTGAATGTCCTTGGTCAGCTGTTCTGTGCTTTTCAGGTAGTTGAGGATGAAGATGTTGGGCGCAAACAGCAGCATGTTCTGCTCCCCGCAGCCGTACGGCATGGCCAGGAGCTTGTCCAGGTTCTTCATGGCCCGGCCCATCAGGTCCCCTGCAGCAGCAACAGGACAAATATAACACCCGCACAACATTTCATTCTTCACAGGTTGGAGGGTGAAAAGTTGGAGCTGTCAACGTTAACACCATGATTAATCGTTAAAAAACAAGTTTGACCCAAACTTCCTCCTGTATTTTCAGCACAGATGTTTACCATGAATCTGGACAAGCTACATATAAAGTACAGACAGGAGAGCTCTCCATGACAAGGTCAGTAATTCAGATATCTTGTTAAAGTTACAACATCCGATTTCTTTCACCAGTATGTCATGCCACCACATCTCTATTTGTTTTATCTCCCGCCAAAATACAAGTAGAAACTATTATTTTAAACTTTTAAGATTAATATTGTGATAAACACGATAAAATGTTGTTATTGATTGACAGCACTATTCAAAATACAGGATAAACTATTTGCTGGTCAATCGCAAGTATTGATAACTATTAAAAAAGACAAGAGAGACTGTGTGACTGACCCAGTACAGAGACAGAGGCCCTGGCGGATCCAGCCACAAACATCTCGGGCAACAGAAGGGAAATCTTCTTCTCCACAGTCCCCTCTGGAAACAAAGAACAGAAAAAAAGGTTACAAAAACAACTTTCCCAGCTTGAACAAAAATGCCTGTATAGAGGCGTGTGGCGCAGTGGCTAGAGCCTTGGTGTTGGGATAAGGGGAGCACAGGTTCAAACCCCACTGCAGTCAGCATGTCGTTGTGTCCCTGGGCAAGACACCCAAATTGCTCCTGTGAGGATTGCCCACAGTATTGAGTATGTAAGTCGCTTTGGATAAAAGCGTCTAACAAGTAACATGTAATGTAATGTAAATTAAAGCAGCAGCTAATTAGCTTAGCATTTAACCGCACATAAAGCAATAGCTTAGCATTTTTTTTGAATGGATTAACAAAGAAAAAAATATTAAAAACATGTAAAATGTTAATTAGTGAGTTTTAGAGAATCTCTACGCTAAGCTAAGCTAATCGTCTCATGGCTTCTTAGTGATGAATGTTTTTAACACTAACAACGTAGGGTTGTATCGATTCTGTGTATTTAGTTTAGCAACCGTATACAGCTGTTATGCTTTTGTTCCAACTATTTCACACATACTCATCTGCGATCCGACAAACACAAAAGGCTTCTGAACAATGAATGAGGTGCAGATAACATTTGATCATCCCTCACACTCAACCCCTGACCCTGACTCTGGTCTCCATAACAGAATGAGAGATAATCAAGATGGCCGTTAACCCAGAGGCTTCAGATTACAGACGCTGATACACAGGTTGTGTGTGCTCACCTGCAGGACAGAGGAGAGCGTTATGACTGACCATCTGTGGTGTTCCTTCAGCCTGGTGGAGACAGAGACAAAGAGAATGAGATTGGGTTGAAGATATACCTCAGGAAAACTGCAAGGCATTGTAACAAGTGCAATCTTTGTGTGTATCCAGCTTCTAATACAAGTTACTCCTCGGGGTGCAAAAACTATTCAAATTAATCAATTCGAAATGCTGTTGCCTTGGGCACCATGTTCCTTCATCAACACAAACAGTTAATTTGGACTAATTCTCAAAACTAAATAACATTCATCGTCCAGCTGACCCAAACTAGTGGATAATCCGCCGTTGGAAATAGTCCCAACATTATTGACCATGTCTTTCTGTCTGAGTTATGTTAAACTACAGCAACAAGCTGATTTGGAAAGAGTCTTTTTGTTGGTTTCAGACAGAGGGTGAAAAGAGGTGCAGCAGCACAGGCAGTATGAGAAAAATACATACCTTTTTGAACATTTAACACAGTGTAGAGACACAACATACAAATATGAAAATGAGCATAATAGGGACCCTTTAAATAAAGTACATTTACGATTTTCGTCTTCAGTAGAAAGAAATGGCCAACGTGCCATAAACAGGGAAAATACATAACTGCCACTATCATTCATCAAAAAGACTGGACAGAACAAAGCCAAATAACAAATATAACAGGGTAATACATTTGTGTTGTCTAATGATAAAACAAATTCTAGTATTAAGTATTTTAAATGTATATAAATTCCTCTTTAGAGAAGGCTCTTCAGATGCAACCACACTACCAAACATGGTCTGCAGGTGGTTCATTCTTCTCAAATCCCTAAAATAGGTCATTTTCCCAAATATTAATGAAAATATTGTCCATATCAGTAGTCAAACTCTTCTGCTCATGCCACCTTGTTTCTCCGGTGTGTTGTGTTTGACAGAGACTCACCTCCACCAGCAGGGTGCGGACCACCGTGTCGATGCTGCCCATGTCGGGGACAGTTGCCACCTTGTTGTCACACCGTATGTTAGTCTTCATGGCTTCAGCGCTGACCTTCAGATCCACCTGACCTGTGGGTACACATACAGTCATATTGATTAGCGCTTCCTGTCACCCTGTCACTTTTTGTGTACGGAGGCAGAAACAGTTTCCTGTCTGCTTTTCAATCCAACTCATTATCCTCACTCTGAAGTATTATTTGCCGTAATTACGAGGTAAACTGACCGTGACTAAAATGAATAACATCTCAAACAGTCAGACATTTATTTATTGAAGCTGAAAGCTGATATCTTGCACAGATATTAAATTCAAATCCAGAACATATTGGTGCCAAGGTGCCCCAAAAAAGAGCATTGAAGCTTACACATTTGGACCATATTAGTGTTTTAGTGTTCTAGACATCACAACTTCAAGCCACAACACAGTGTTTCATGATTATCATTATTATACTATCTCCAATATGGATGTTGTTTTTGTAGTTTTGAAACAATTTCCCCAAAAATATCTAGAAACCTTATAATTGATATTTTTTCAATCAGAATTTGAATCTTAATTAACACCCTATGTATGACAAATTACAAAATAATTATGGATATTTCAGATGAGAGATTGTTGGGTGTATTTCTTTCTGTGATTTTTCTCATTCGTTGAAAAGGGAAAAGCTCACTTAGCAAATGTGATGTCACATGTTTTTGAACTATCAGGAGTTTAATTAAAAAGATAATAGGTGGATTCAAAATCAATAAGGATGTTTTTACAGCATATATTCACTTTTAGTGCTCTTTTTAGTCATACAAATCTAATGTTACTAAGCAATACTTCTAATCATGGTTTTTCAGGAGCTTTAAACGGTCAAAAAGGCCAAACTCTCGTTTTAATGTCCTGTAAAAAGAATTAAGCTCTTTCCACCGACCACCAAAGAATATATGGAAACTACGTGAAACAAAACCCTGACTGCCTCATACTGTATCATTTGCAATAACATGTTCATGTTTCTAAACGGAATGCGTCAGCCATCAGTACCTAGGGTGGTTGGAGTTACAATCCACGAGAAAGTCCTGCTCTCCTCCCCGCACAAACACATACTGTACTGGCAGCCGTCGCAGTTTCTGGAGGTGTACTGGTCGGAATCAGCCAGAGTGGTTTTAACCTGCAGACACAATCAAAGACAAACATAATCAGAAATAAAAATATATAAAATACATGTCCATTATCATCTGGCCGGGGACAACAGCTGGAAATTAGCAATGTTGGCTAAAGCTGCCACATTTACTATTTTTTGTGACAGTTGATTAATGGGGACTTCCACGACACTATAAACAAATAAACTAAACTAAACATGTAAAAACAACGTTTTAAAAAAGACAATTTGACTACCCTATCCACAGTCCTACGTGTATCCATTCAAATCAATTACATCTGCAACAGCTAGAATATTTACCATAATGCACTTGGAGAGATAGTTGAAGACTGTTGCTTTAAGTGTAAACACCTCCCCTCGGATGACCGAGTAGGGCAGGGTGAGACTGACAAAGAACGGCTGGAAGGCGACAAGCGCCACGTTGGGCGCCACGCCGAAGCCCACAGATGAGACGCAGAACGCTCCAGCTGCCCACTTAGTGATGGTGTCAGGGACCGTCTTCTCCACGTTCACTGAGCCACTGTATCTGTTCAAACAAACAAGAGTCAAATAAAAAAGTAGCATGAAAAAATACATATGCTTAGCAAATTCCATGCATTGCTACTGCACATGAGAGATTTAAGTGCTCAGTAAATTTCAGTGTAAATATTCTTTAGTACAGCTAAAATTATCAATAAATAGTGCATTTGGTTGAAATGGAACTTCATCCCTGCCCAAGAAAACAACTTCTAACAAAACAAAGGTCTACAGCTATGCTAGCAGCTCTGTGAAGTGCTTTGAGTTAATGCTAACATCAGCATGCTAACACTGTCAATGCTAAATTGCTAATATCAAGCAGGTATAATGTTAACCACGTTCACTATCAGAATGTATCATTTGTTAAAGTTGTTTAGTAAATACAAAACATCCAGTAGTTGCTAAGATATTAAGTCAAAAACTACAAATGTTAGCCTCTGTCTGAAGTTAAACACAAAGTTGGAATATCAGGCTTTGTCTGGGCACAACTTTCTCAACAAAATGAGCTAATAAGCAATAACACAGGTGAAAAGTACTTCTGGGGCTTAGTTTTGCAGGTATTTAGTCATAAACCAAAGTATTGGATACATTTGAATTATGACGACAGCGGCACAAGAAAAAGAGTAATAAGGATACATCCACTGGGCACCATGAATGACTAACACATTTGTGTCATTAGGTTTATTTCACTGGGCACCTTGAATGTCAGTAAGAAATAAAAAGTGTTTGCCTTTAAAAGCTTGAATAGTCACGCTCCTGGTGGTGCTTGAAGATTAGTGAGGGGATCATCAATGTCATGTTTGCCGTTAGGAACCATGAATGTCTGTACAAAATTAACATTTGCTCGTTGGCAAAAACGCAGGTAAAAAGTACTTCTGGGGCTTGGTATTCCAGGTATTTTGTCATAAACAAAAGTAAGTAATTAAGTTATATCCACTGGGCACCATAAATGTATGTACCAAATGTGTGTCATAGGTTTATTTCACTGGGCACCATGAATGTCAGTAAGAAAAGAAAGAAAAAATAATAATCACCAACGTTATGGTGGCCTCTGGGAATCATGAATGTCTGCTCCCTACTGAATTATTTCCACAACTATTGGATGGATTAACATGAAAATGTATGAAATGGTTGACCTACAGACAACGTCATCCCTAATCTTAACCTTATGTGACAAAAGTCATTAGGATGCATCCTCTGAGTAGCATGACTACCTGCTCCTGACCCGAATATCTCTCGACAACTTTTGTGGATAACTATTAACTGTACGATGTGCTGAACAGACCAAAATAGCCTTTGTGAGAGCCACACTGCCATCACAACTAACACAAATACATTATTTAAACAAGTTACATTTATAAAAAATGGCCCTGGAATCGTGTATTTCTATTTGTATCCCTCCAAAAGGTCAGTATTGTATCAAACTTCATTATTGCAAGCAACCTTGACAAAGGCAGCTCATACAAGATACATTCTTCCTGTTCTTACCTTTCACAATAAAAGACCTAGATATATATGCAAAACTTTTAAACTAGGGGAACTCAAATTCAGGGCATTTTGTTTAAAAGGAACTAAAAAAGAAAATAGAGGATCATGTTGTACCATATTTCATATAAATTAGGTGACACTTATATTCCAACTTTCCATTGAAGCAATTTTGCAACTGTTGCAAATTTGTAACATTGCCAGTATGGACAGTTTTGAAGCATTTTCAAATTGTACAACTTTGTCCATTCTTTATTAAAGGTAGGGTAGGTAAGTTTGAGAAACTGGCTCGAGATCGCTAGAATTTGAAAATACACAACCGGAGAAAATCTGCCACTTCCTTACAGAGCCCCTCCTCCAACACACACGAACGCGCACATAACCAATGAGGACACGAGATAAGTTTGTGCACAGATGGAAGGCTGACAGGCAGGTAGGCCATCCAGTTATTTTAGCCGGGCCGGATTCTAAAGTGTAACGGTTTGCCGTTTGTTTACAGTTCAATATCATTTTTTATTTAATATATGGGGGTCATGGACTGTTTTTTTCCACTATTTAGACAGAAAATGTGATGGTTAATCATGAACATTGATTTCCATTCAACATAAATAAACAAATTAATCTTTCTAACTGAAAAATAACTTGTTAATGATATAATGCCTATATTGTTAAACGTAATGTGTTTGCTCACACGCACGTTTGAAAGTCACAAATGTCTTATTTTTTCTTCCTATTCATATATGTTGTTATTATTACCCCACAGAAACTAGGTCCCAGATCCAGGTTTCAGGGAAGAATGTCCTGAGAGTCTCTTTCTTCTGCTCTTCTTCACCACCTGGACTTTGTGGCATGGCCATGACTATCGGAGAGTCTAGCTCTGGGAACACACAAATAAAAAACAACAATCGAATTAAGCACCACCTAGTGTCAGCAGAAAGTAATGCAAATAATAATTCAAAAAATATGCAAAAACAATATATGTTAAAATATATTTTAAGATCATGTTTAGTCATCTGATTCGTCTGTACATTGCTGTTTTAGTCTGCGTTCTTCCAATTAGTGTCCACAGTGTGCCTATTGAGCCGTGTTGAGCGATGTGGGGCAAGCCCCGATCTAGCCCCTCTCTCTGCTGTCAAAATGAATGGGTGCTGTAAAAACTACACTGCGCATGCTCAAGAGTATTTTTCTATTCAATGTGCGCGGCAAAAGAATAATCACCATAGGGGCACTGTGCTGACATACCTACCAAACGTCATCTCATAATTCAGAGAGCTGATTGGCTGTAAGTACATGTGCCGCGAAAATAGTAGTTGTGAAGAGGAGAGAGAGAGAGCAGCGTATAGCGATTAAAATCAGTAAAACAGAAAGAAAATGAATGAAGTTGACCATCTACTTCAGCTTTGGCAAGTTATTTTATGTCATATCTTTTGTTGATCTTCTGTGTTTTGCCTATAGGCTATTGCTCTGCTGGATCGATTGATATTGTGACCTCGGTGATGAGTGTCTGTGTTTTCCTTATATCCCCCCCCCCCCCCCCCCCACTCTATCGGAACCATGGATAGCCTACAGCTATTTGTTTACGTGTTTAAAAAAGCACCAGAAGTTTATATATACACATCTAAGTTGTTCGTGCATTAATTTAATAAAAATTGCATGCTTTTTGGTGTATCTGACGGAGTTGACAAAATCAAGTTAGGAAATTAATAAATGTCAATTGTAATAAAAAGTTTTTGTTTGTTTTTATAAAAAAGGTGTTACCTGACCTGATTTGTTGGCTCATTCCTTTGTCTAATAAATATACCACATTCAAATAAGGGTTGTATTTAACTTGTTTTGTAACTTATCTCAAGAATCAGTGCTGTAATAGTGTACAGTATATTATATTTATTGCCCTACTGTCAATAAGAATGGACAATATCAGTAGCAAACTATAAAACATACTCTCGTAATAGCGCCATGGATAGCAGTCATAAGGTTTTCTAATATCGGAGTTGGTCACAATTTTGATCCCGATTCCCTAGAAGGGGAAAGAGAGAGATTATTAGTTAACAAACAAAATATTAAGTCATATTTTGTATATGATTGGTCACACATTTCTAACGCAGTCACACAGTTTGAAATGACCCTGACATAAATTACAAAAGGATACATTTTCTCCTTAAAAATGTATGTTATATCTATCAATCTCAATATCTATAGCCCATTATTTAAAACCAATAAAAAAATGACATGTTTCACTTTAAAAATGTTGTAGACGTCATTCTTCTGATCGTCCCCTGGAAAGTAGAATGGGCGACTACCAAAGCTCCTGATTCCAAGCCCTGGTACTGGCAGAAACTTGCAGGGATTGGACTCAGCGTCTGCAACCTCATAGCTGTATCCTGAGAGCTTTTGCACAGGCAACCGGCTGTACACCTGCATAAAAACACACATGAGTCAGGGTAAGTCATCAGTTTACACAGAAGGTAAAGATCAGTCCAAGTCAACATCATCATCATGTTCCTAATACAACATTAACACAGAAAAGACCTGTCTATGCTGCCCCAGAACGCCTCGTTGGACATTTTTCTTTTTCCATGTTTTTCTTCCTGGTCACAGTGACGCAACGACGACCAAATGGACCAATCCGTGGAGCTCCTCACACACACACACACACACATATTTTCTCAGCCGCGCTACTCCGTGGAGTTTCGCCGGCACACACTCACTCAGCCTTATCTTTTCTCAGGCTGTGAGTGTGTGGCGAACAGCCTGGCTGTGAGTGTATGTGTGTGTGCTCAGGCTGAGTTTGGCGGTGTCTCGCAGACCCCACGCAGTAACCAGGAAACAAAACCAGTAATACAGCTCACACTGTCAGCTCCTCGAGCCTCCAAGGGCGGAGCAGCGAGCCCCGCAACGTCCTGCCAACACGGCTGCTTTTTTTGGTTGCTAACGAATGCCATTGTAACACATAATCACTGATGTTCCGCTGTAACGGTGGTGGACTCATCAGAACAGAGTGGGAGAGCTGACCAATCAGAGCACAGTGGGCTCATAGGGAGGGGAGGGCAGAGAGTGAATACACACAATACTATACAGAGATGCTGTATGAGAAACCAATGTGATTTTGGAACATTGAACAATGTAAATCTATTCTAGTAGACCTCAACAATGGAATTATGATCAGTAGAAATGGCCATGTCATGGGACCTTTAAGTTCAAATAAAAAAAGACCTGCAGAATGCAGGCAAAGAACAGCTGTACTGCTGGGCTAATTTCAAATTCAGTGTGGATCTGGCAGCTGACAGTGGAAAAAAGGTATTTGTAATGCCTTTATCTGGAAATCACAACTTGATTTTTTTGTTTCTATAACTGGTTAATTTGTGTTAGTTTGTGGGGAAAAAAAAAAGACTGATTTCTCAAGATAAGTAGTGCGAATAGTCAGTAGCTACACAGCACCACAGGTCAGCTCTGCTGAATATTTCTGTGAAAACTGTAGGCTATAAAAAGTGTCAAATATAAGCTCTATGTTAAAAAACTGTTAACTAATAAATGAAAAGGACTGATCTGAATGTTATCTTTAGCAGAAAGTCATTGCATTTACCGAGTCTGTAGAGTGTATTAGAATGATTTACAGTCAGATCAAGGACAATCATTACTGATCAATTCAAAAGATATTTCAGGGGCTATATCATCCAATATCATGCTATTGCACTTGACTCCAGTATTAAGAGGAAGCAAAATAAATGTTAACTAGGTCGATTTGTAAAGTTTTTTTTTCTCTCTGTTCCATCGGGTTTCCATGTCTAGCATAATGGACTAGGCTACAACGACAATTGGTTGTGCAACCGTATGTTGCGTAATGAGAATCCTTGTTTTCTATCTATACTATTTTAACTTCTAGCTGCTTTTAAATCCATGCCTTGTTTTAAGCATTAAAAACATCATGCTCAAAGATATGATATGGTTTCATACCGAGTCAACAGTGAGTTCCTGCTCTTTCTGCAGCAGCAGGACGCTCTGGTCGATGGCTCTGACGGAGCACATGGAGCCTGGGTGAGCCTGCAGGGTGAGCGTGGTCTTCTCTGCTGGAAGCTCCTGGAGAGAGGAGAACCTCAGAGACACCTGCAGAGAAGACACCGAGGTGGGGAAGCATTAGTTTGACAGCCCAAAATAAGTGAAGAAGTAAAGACCTACTGTATGGTAAAGACTTAAAACCATGAAGTTGAATACCTTGTTATTGAGGCAGAGACTGATTGGGAAGTCCATGCTATCGGCCACAAGCTCCCCTTTGGGCATCACAGTATAAACGACCACCTGGGCAAAAGGTGCCAGGTTTGTAACCTGACGCAGTGGCACAGACAACTCTCCTTTGTTGACTGAACCATGACACAGAGAGAAAAGGAAATTACATATGAAATTATCACAATAAGTAATCACAAATAATGTACTTTTCTCATTCAACTAACATAATATAATAACCTGCGAAAGTAGCCTGATGCTAATGTAGGTACCAATAGGCACATGCATATATATATATATTTTTTAAATAAATGCCCAGCAGGTGGAGACTCCACTGGTTGCAAAAACTCTGAATGCATAGAAGTCTATGAAAAAAAAGTCCCTAATATAATAATTTGGTAAATATATTCTTTATGAGTTTATGGTTTCATTGAGTAGTTGTAATTATCTTTAATACATCATGATGTTAATTTTGTACATTATGATCCCATTTAGAGTCAAATAGACAATGAAGTAGGTTGTGCATTTGGGCGTGGCTACCTTGTGATTGGCATCTGCTGACAATAATAGAAATACAATCATGACCAGACTAATACATTTTGATGCCCATCTTAGTTTAAGTAGCAGTTGTTATTACCAATATACGGTTGAACAGCAACTGGGAGACTGCCATGCTGAACAATTCCACCCCTGGACATCACCTACGAAGAAACATGAGGCAGGCAGATCAATTAAATAATTACATTAGATATAGTTTTGCAATGCATCCTACAGTCTTTCAAGTTCAGTCAGATATTAGATCAGAAAAACAAAAGACTGTCCAACTAGACAACAGCGCAAACAAACCCATGACATTTTGCAACTAACTTTCCCAGTCTGTTAGTGTGCTTCAGCTACAAGCAAAAAGCTAGCAACATGTGGATGATCTTTGCAAAACTGGTAATTACAATGAGCTAATACTGACAGTACCTCATAACTTATTACACAAGTCTTACCAGGTAAAAGATTTGGAGGATCTCCTGGTCGTTCTTCAGCTCCGTCCCCTCGATGATGTACTGAACACGCACCGTTGCGTCTTTGTCACAAGCCAGCTTCCCGTTCACCTGCATGAGTTTCAGGAAACTACTGCTCTTGGAGTAAAATGCTATGACGTTGTGGTATGCAGCCCAGTACTCTGGTTTGCGCACGCCTGGCAGATTCGGCTCATTCACTTCCGTCTCTCTGGATCGCGCCTGTAGATCAAACAATCACATCTCAGGTTTTAAAACAACCGCCTTCACTTATAGAAAGGTGCAGTATTGACGTATTTTTTAAGTCTAGCATCTCAAGGGTTCTCTCGTGAAAAAGCAACAGGATTTGCTTATTGGATTTCCGTCTAATGCAGAAAATAAGCTTTGTGGCCAACACAAGTTTTTTTACTCAGGATAATCTCCACATATTAACACCACTTTATGATTTTTGAAGAGTAAACACAATCAGCCAAAGTAAAAAGCTATAAACAAACTACATGATGGAAGCAACCGCCATTTTTCTGACTCATAGAAGCTTTGGACATACGGCAGTGGGGTACTTACTGACATATTTTATATCGTAGAACCAAATATGAAAATCTCGTAAACTTGTGTTAGCCACAGACTTTTTTTCAGGCTGCTAACCACAAACACATTGGAAAAAACTTTGAGACAATGTAACCGGAAGGGGTAAATTACCAAGTCTTTTCCAGATTGTAGGCCTTATCCCTGCACTCTATATACCTTTAACTATTACTTAATGATCTCAAAATGGGATTAATTAAAAAATAATCTACGCCCGTCTTGTTCACCTCCAACATGATCAATAGGGTGGAAAGTTTCTTTAACTAGATATGGATTGTATAATTGATCAATAGAGAATTGGTTATAAATAGGAAGCTCTTGAACTGAATTCATTATGCTGCAGTAACCAACCTGTAGATTCACATTGTCCTTCCAGAGGGCGGTGTCAAAAGAAAACGAAGCCTTTCCATTCGTGCCTGTAGTCAGCTTGACTGCTTGAGAGTTGCCAGCAGACACATACACGGCCTCATTGGTGACAGCTTTGTTGTCTGGACCAATCACTTTGACCTGTAATTCAACAAAGTGACACTTTCAAGTACTGTAACACTAAAATTGTACACTTTGCGATGCTGGTCATTTAAGGGTTTAAGCCTAAAGGGGTTATTCCCTCTGGTCCTCTTTGTGATAGGAATATTCATGTTCATATGGTAAATATTTATGCAGTATAAGCTAGCCCAGGGGTCGGCAACCCCTGGCACGCATGCCAGCATTGGCACGCGGCACCATAACCAGTGGCACACTAGGAATAAGTGGATAAGTGTGCAAAATATTTAAATTGTATTTTCGGATCCTGAACGAGACCGCCGCCAGAGCGCGTCTCCCCGTTACCTGCAGAAGGAAGCCATGCACGCAGCGCAGCCCCGCTCTGTTTAACTCCAGGTGACTTTCTGCCGCTTTCCTCCGTGGTGCAGGGCTGAACGTTTCACCACGGAGGAAAGCACTTCACAAATTGCAGTACCCATAAGGAACTGTACAAATGCCGCAGTTTTTGCGTGGCTGTGTGTGTCTTTAGTTGAAAGCCCAGTGGCGATCTGCTCATCTCTCATTGAAAGAATATGCTACAAAGGGGCGGACTGGCCATCTGTGTGTTGAACTTTCCTGTCGGCTCCCAGACCGTAGTCGAGGAGGGCAGAAGCAACAAGCTTCAGGTTCAATAACCAACTTTAGCTTAAATTACTGGAGAGAGGCGAGCTCTTCTTGGGAGGCTGTTGCATTTATTTAGCTGTTCTTCTGTTTCACAAAATACATCACAGACCTCTGTTTTTCTGCTGCCTCGTTTCACTTCCAGAAACATACACACGCTCGCTCACTCTCGCTCATCCACACACACACATGCACACGCCACACCCCTCTCTCTCTCTCTTAAAGGGACAGCGATCTCATCTCACTCTGCATGACCCTAATATCATAACATGTGTGTTCTGGAGAATTACAGAACGGACGATCGTCCTTATTATTATGCCGTTTAAACCAATTATTTAAATGTGTTTGTTAAATTCGGCATCATGTAAGTTGTGCTGACAGGTCCACACACTGCTTCCCCGCAGTGAGGCTCCCCCCGCCCTCCTGTTGATAGTTCACGAGCGTCAAGCTCCTCAGCCCCCCCCGTTGATAATTCTCGATCGTTGGCACGCTGATAACAATTTTTTTTTTTTTTCATGGCACTTCATATCAAAAAGGTTGCCGACCCCTGAGCTAGCCTATGAGCAATGGCGATAATGGCCTACTTTAAATTCAGTAGGTGAACCTATATGTTCATAAAATAGTGTGTGTGAGCTTAACTGTATATATAAAACTAAAACGGAGCATTTTCTGTCAGCTCAGAATTCAGACTTTTTTAAACTGTATTATGTGCTTATGCGTTTCATTGTTGGTGTATAGGCTACTGGCTGAATATGCTTAATGAAAGACACATTTTTAAATATCTTGTACTTCTCTTTTCTAAGGTTACATTAAAATAAAAAACATCTTATTGATATTTTTTATCTCTTTTATTTATTTGATATTGAGGTTATCCAAAAGTAACAAATCTGGTTACATTTCCTTTCTATTTAGATACTCAGATTAGGTTACTAATTACATTTATTTTTCTTTACAGGTCAATGTAACGCAATGCATTTTTTCTAAGATACCCTCCTAACTGTTTGTGGATAATTTCCCAAACTCTGGTATCGCTAACTATCCACTAGTCTAGCATGGATATGAATAAATATGTATCATGTGGTGTGGTGACGGCATCTATATGGTAGCTCCCAGTGGTCTCTCTCGAGACTAAATACCTTTCCCTCGAACAAGATGCCAGGCATGTATGCTTCAGGTACGTCCTCGAAGGTGACAGTTCTGACAATAGCGCTGAAGCTGGTGCGCCCAGTGCCTGTAAGAATGACTCCTAAATGGTAGAAAACATACAGATCACAGCTCATCAGGAAATAATGGTGATTACTCAATGAACAGTCAATGCTCCTGTGTAAACAGCCAAGCTACCTGTGCCGTACTCCTCCAATTCTGCATTCAACTCAAAGCTGACATAGTTCATGATCCCGTTGAGTTGAAACACTTCCAAGTTCACAGTTTGTGTAGCACAGCCAGCTTTGTCAGTCTGGAAGATAATAGCACAAGTCAATTTCAAACCAAAAAATTGAATTAAAGAGAGAAATAACAGCATGTCTTTTATTAATCTGGGGTACTCACCGTCAGTTCATAAGTTTTGCAGATATCATTTTCTTTTCCCCTTATATACCAGAACATTGCAATTTTGCAAAAAACTGCCTTGACTGAACCAACAACTGGTTTCCCATAGGTGTATCTGCAGGAGAGAGCACACAGATTGAGGAATGCTCTTCAGGAATGGATACATGGACATTTAAAATGTGTATTTATTGCATTGCAATACGTTAATGTTCATTAAGGTCTGAAAGCTCTTATTTCTTAAGAATCGCACTTAACAGTACACACAAACTGCTCATTTGTTTACCAAAGAAAAACGACCATTGCTCCAAAAATACGTATGCTTTTATTTTCCTTCCATCCATGATTAAGACATGAAAGTCCCTACTCAGCCTCCGATTGACTCACCTTAATATTTTCACCCCAACCGTGATATTTGTAACCGACCTATAATAAATCTCAAACGGCATTCCTAATTTTAGCCAACTCAACAGACGAACGCAACATGTACTAGCCAATCGGAGGCAGTTTGATGCAGGTCATGCCTTTGCTGTAGTAGGAAACACTTTTATTGTTAAGACAAAATTAAAAATCTAATTAGATTCAGATGGCTGAATTGTTTATGCTCAGTTTGTTTGTATGGCATTCTCTATTATCTAACATCTTACATTTGTGTTTTTCTATTGTTTTTAAGGTTTTCTACCTGGACAATTACTATAGATATCTACATAAGTCAACTGTTGAAAAGAGAAATAAATACAAACAAATAGGAAAGAGTTGTCTATGTGTCCTCTCTTGCCCTCAAGCCTCTCATATTTGGGCAAACATTGAAAAAAGCCCAAAAATCCCCAAAGAAATTTACAATAATTAAGGTTTGTTGCTATGTGGTTGTAATAGCTATAAGCTGCCGTTTGTTCGTTAAGAATGTGTATTTGTGAAGCAATGGGCCATTGGACAAATGAGCTTTCGGTCGAGTGGGACATGTTTTGGACTATTGGGGTGTTGGCCTTCAGATACCAGTGAACGGTTTTCTGTGACACTCAGACACCATTGCCTAAAACAGTTTTATACTCTTGCAAAAAAATGCAGCAGTACCAGTAGAGTTTTCCTCTTCGTTATACCAAAATTGAGGAGAATTACATATCTTTTTAATAAAATAGCCACTGTGCTAAACTTCATTGCCATTGCTAACCACTGTCAGGTCCTTGATGCGAGACACTCACTTTCCACAAATCTTTAGCGTTGCCTCCTTGTCCAGGATGGAGATCACATTGGGTAGTTCAACCTTTACCTCATATTTTGGCAAAACTGAAGGAGAGGAAAATGATTTAAAAATCGAACTGCTGAAAAGGAACATAGATCAAACATATCAATCATTTTGGTAATATTCAGCAAATAACTGCAGCAGACCGTATTCCTTGATGTCGAAACTGTGGGATATTTTCTCTCCTTGGTCCGTTGTGGCAGTGATCACATAGCTTCCCTGAACCGCCTCAGGAATCATGGGGTGGGAAATATCAAGGATACCGCTAACAAGGTTCCTATCCAACCACTGAGCAATGCGATTTGAATTGGGATCCTACATGAAGGCAGAGGCACATTTGAGGTTGAGTTTAGACCCAAAAATGAACTGTGGACTGATGGTGTCTCATGGTATCTACGCTCACAAGGATGTTTTTCTATCCTTCATAATAAGGCAACAAAAACCTTATGGATTTTTTCCTGTAATAGTTGCATCTTTTAAATTATTCAGATGGCAGACATTATAATACTTGTGAAAGTTAGTGTAAGTTTATGTCAATGTTTGTTGATTGGATTATATTTTTGGCACTACAACTAGGGGTCGCCATAATCAAATGAAAAGCCAGAAACAATTTTTAAATCCTGCCAATAGGGTCTTTAAAATGTTCTCAAAATAAAACACTGCATTTATCTCTATTAGTATAGAATTATATAATTAGCACACAATGTGTATAAGGGTCTTATACAGCAAGCATTAGAGACAGCTTCTCATACAATAACTTTGTGTCATTCTTACCTGGAGCTCCACCACTTTGTACTGAAAAAGAAAAGAACATTTTCAGTTGCATGTAGAATTTGTACATTACATTATATGCAAGAAGAATACAACACAGAATATAAATCATTAGCTTTTTCAATAGCAAAAATTAACAATCCACTAACAGGAGGAGTACTGGGTAATTGGTAATTAAAACAGTCATAGTTTTGGATGCAGTTTCATACAGTTAAAAAATAAAGATTATACATTTCAGCAGGGGCACTCGTCAGTATAATACAAAATGAATACATTTCTGACTTTTAACATTTGATTTGGACATTTTGTTCCGTCATTTTATATATTTACAAATATTCAATATGTTTAATATGTTTTAGTTTAGAGACTCGTATAGTAGGTCAGACAGTATTACACATATTATTAAAGTTGGCTAGGCATGGGATGAATTCATGGCACAATTATCCTGGTGAAAATGATTGCAATTAACAATATAAATATAAATATACATACCAGTCGGGCTACAGGAATGAAATTGGAATCCATCGAGACGATTCGGAATTGGACTGTAAATAAAAAGCAGGAAAAAATAAATAAAAATAGCATTAATGTTTTCTCTGAACATAAAACACAAACAGCAATACATAACATCGGTAAGGGAAACAGAGAATCAATTCAATAAAACCCTACAGTACAGCCAGTGGGAGGAGGGACATTGATGGATAACTTGCATGGTACAAAGGCACTATTCTTAAAGGCCTAAGTTAGATAAAGTTTGCTAAGTTTCTAGTGATAGCGGACTGTGTGAAGCTATTTTAAAAAGCATATTTCTGAAGTTTTCCTATTGCGTTACACTGTAGACGGTGAAGTGCTAGTCAGCCACAGTCTAGGGTTTATGAGAAACAATGTTTAAAAAAGGCACTGCAGCAATTAATATCGGCCTCTTTGTCAAGAAAGGGGAATTATTTAAAAAAGAAAACCAGTCAAAATTAGATCAGCAGAATCTCTGAAGTAGTAAGGGACAAAAGGTCCAAAACACTGGATACTGTATATTTTTTTAATGCTACTCTATAGAATTAGTGATTCTTTAGTGATACCCCTGGTGCCTGGAAAACCCCTATACAGTATGTAATACTGGCTTTTCATGAAAAATCCCCAAACACAAGACAAAATAACCCTGATGACATCACTGAACTAGTCATTCTATTGAAGCTCCTCCAGAGCCATGGAGTGGGTAGGGTCTAATCATAGAGGATTTTATGGCAAAGATGACAAAGACCTTCTTTACCACTGACCTTTCGACACACAACCAATCAGATGAAAGCTGAATGAAGCTAGCAGGGGAGGTCACCATAGAAACGTTTTTTTAGGTTGTTTTTTTTTTAAATTCAACCCGATTGCGTGAAATGCCTTTTACTACCGAAGCACTTTTTGATTACATATGTACGGTACAGTGGCCAGCATGTGCCAACGCTCTTCAAAGCCAGCAAAACACTTTTGCACATTTTCCGCTGCACTTTTAAAATATAAAAACAAAAATGTGCCCAAACACATCCAAATGAGGAAACATCTTTACCAACTTCACGAAACATGCACATCGTTTACTGAAGGCGCAGCATAAATGAAGCCCTGCAAACACAAAATGCTGCAAAAATAAAACGCTGCAAGTAAAAACGCTTTAAGTTGCTCAAAACACAACAGGGACACTAAAATGAATGCACTCTGGAGGGCATTCGGGAATAATTTTAGACAACTGTAACTGTTGTTGGAAACTTTCCTAAAATGTCCTTTTTATTGGATTATTCTAACAATGTGATCGCACGATTCCTTCCAATATTATTGCAAATCTGCTGAAAGCTATAGGGAACGTATCCAACCTAGTCATTTCAAATATACTGACGACACTTAATTATGGAACAGACTAACGTCAACAAGCACTCTTCTTCCAGCTGTGCATCACTTTTTAGTGTCCTCGTTTTCATTTGAGCTTCTTGCAGCGTTTTTTTATTTGCAGCGTTTTCAGTTTGTAGGGTTTTGTTTATGCGGGTACTTTAGTCAGTCATTTGCATCATTTTTTAAAGTGCAGTGTTTTTCTCCTAATTTGAGTGTTTTTGGCTTTTGTAGCGGTAGATAATAGTAGTATCATATTAGGACACCCGTCTCGTCTTTCTATAGCAAATATACCAAGGTAATATTAATTTTGCAATAACGTGGTGATTACAAAAATAACATTACATGAATGCACATTTAAAAGTTAGGTGGGGTTTTACTGCATTTAATTGGTGATTTTTTTGTGATATTTGTTGCATTAAACCTCCACCAAGAACTCAACCACCATCTTTCTGTGTGCTGAATTTAGTTATAATTCCTAAAGTTGTCAATTAGTGGCTCAGCATTATGTAGTCCAAAATTGTGCAAGTGCAGCTGAATCGGTAAGCATTGCAGAGGGGAGAATGTGGGCTGTATGAACAGTACGACTGCAGCAGAGCAGTCATTTTACCACACAGCAGGAAACCCTAAAAGTGAAGTACCACAACATGTGATACTAACCTTTCTGTCCAGGTTTGTAGATGGGTTTATCAGTCTGGATGATGTGGATGAAAGCAGGACGCTCAATCATGATTTTGGTTATCTTGCTCATCGAGACACCCTCACCCGTAATAGTGACATTAATGGATGCCACAGTTCTGTGATGCACTGTGGGGACCTGTAAAAGAAGAAAACATACATCTTTCAGAGAGGGTATATGACATGGCCCATATTATGCTTTTTGGGGTTTTGTCTCTCCTGTAGTGGGTTGCATACGTTTTGGTGCATTAAAACGCCTCCTTTGGACTCCTTTATTTACTTCTGCGACAAAGTGACATCACTTTGTAACACGTGTGCTTCTATTTGCTAGCGCTAATCTGTAAGCGGTTGACCTATCACAACGAAGCCAGCCAGTTTACCAATCAGAGCAAACTGAAAATGAGCATAATCTGGCCGCTTTAAAGCTGAGGACATGTTACTTGATTTTCAGGTTCATACATGTTTACATGCTTTAATGTTAAAAAGGGTCTTTATTTTCCCCCATAGTGCCTGTGCTGCAGCACCTCTTTTCACCCTCCGTCTGAAACCAGAGCCCAGTCTGCTCTGATTGGTTAGCTGGCCAGCTCTGTTGTGATTGTTCAACCTTTTAGAGATGACGAAAATGTCCCTCCCCTTAGCCTATCATGTACAATGTGTTGTGTTGGAGCGCTGGGTGGGAGAGAAACTCCCTCTGGAGGGAACTTTGTGATTTTATCCTTTGCAGACCATTTACATGCACACAAACCTATATAACACTACCAGAAAGGGAAAACCCCAAAAAGCAAAACAGGGGACCATGTAAGGTAAGAACTGGGGTATGTTCAATGTAGATTGTACCTATAATTGTATACAAGAACTGTTTGGAGAAATAAAAGAACAGACCTCTACCGCGACATGGTTAATCAGGAAATGTCGTCATGTGTTTTTACTTGCTAATGGAACTGCGATTATATAACAGGGACTACTTCAAAAATGTGGCTGTTGAAAGCCTCAGTCATGGAGCCAGCTAGCTGATTAGGGGCGAGAGGAACGTCCCTTGAATGCATCTAACCACTAACAACAACTTCCCTCCCCTCCCGATCTTCCATACTCTACTTTGGCACTGAACATGCAGAAGCAAATGACTAAGAGCAGTTATACATTTTATTTGTTTTGACTGAAATTTGAGACGACACTTTGCAAATTGCCAAAATGTGGGTGTACACATAATGAGTCAGACCTGGAAGTTTAAGCAGCGATAGAAGTCCTTGTCAACAGCCTGCTCGAGTATGGTGGTTTTGCCAGGGCCGATCTCGAGGGTGATGGTCAATTTGATGGGCATCGTTGGGCCGTCGATGTGAGCACACAGGGTCTCCTGTTTCCCTCCTCTCACCTGGGAGCTCACAGTCACTGCAAAAACACTGCAGCCAGAAAGAGGACATTACATTAGTTAAAAAAAAGGACATGGTGTGCTTCACATCAGAACAGAAAGCAGGGTTTTTAGTACTCATTCTTATGCGTTTGGTTATTGCAAAAATGCTCCTATATCAACTATTGGAGTCATGGATTTTTTTCTAGTACCCATTGAGGCTGAGCAGAAGGAAATAATTAGCCGTTATTGACATCACCTGTTACATAAATTAAAGCCATGAGGTGGAGCTGAACACTTAAAAACCCTATGCTGTGTATTCATTGTCGTACATCTGTGATTAAACGTGCCATTTTAGCTGTTTAAGTGCGTTCCCATGCAAAATGATGGTAAAAATGCACCACGAGTTCCCGAAAGGTGCACTCATACCGGTTTAAAAAGTTGACTGTGGAACGCTAATCACACTCTATGATCGCCATCTTAGCTACGTAACAGTAGTGGCGCTTCCAGGCCCAATTGCGACTGCTCAAGTCAACACAGCACTATTTAAATTAAAGTTATACATGTGGCTGTTTTTCTATATTTGATACACTTTCCACTCTACTGGTGATAAAAGCAGCCACTGCTCATTTTATTGGGTAAATTGAGAAGTCTGTAATGATTTGCTACCACGAAAGATGAAGTCGCTAGCTAACTAGCTAGCTGAGGGTCTATCAATACTTCCAGTTAAGGCATAGCAGCCATAAGCGATTCGAGACAACACTACACAGTCCCACGCTGTGCAGGTGTTCACCAAACACAACATGAAAGTGCACTAAGAGAGTATCACAGCACCATTGTACCCTACCCCATCAGCACCAAGTGGCACGCTCCCTTCAGATAGGGTTATATTTAACAGGTTAAGATTCAATTTGAATTAAGTATTCACAAGCTCTAAGTAGAGTTTTGCTGATACTGTCAGAAATGGCAGAGGCTATGACAATTATTTTTTGTGTGAAATAAGTTAACATATCTTGACTGTTTTCCATTTATTATAAAGTACAGTCAAAGATTGACAGGAAAGCTAAGTGGTGCGTGTCAGCAGCTGACATCGATCAAAGAACTAGTTTGGGTTTTATATTGTAATTTTAGTCTCAAAACGTTTTTATTTTATACATTTTGCTTTTGTCATTTTATGCATTATCTACCCGCTAGCTAGCTAGCTTACTAAATTGATAGCCTCGTTGACTTCTACATTCTGACAGTAGCATTAATATTGCAGTTGTCGAGGATTCTTTTTTCTCCCAACTACTACTGCCATGCATTTTGTGTGCGAATTTAGCCAGAAAGATCGAGCCAGAAGCTTTGTATACTGGCAGACTTAACTTATGGCATTTTGTACTTTATAAGGATGTTTACCTTTAGAACTATACCCTGCAATAAAAAACGACAGTTGTTTTGCTCCTAAGACTTATTCCTACTAGCTTTCCGTAAAGTCCGTATCGAACTGGAAAAATGCCAGCCAAGTATGCGGCTTCTGCAGTTCAGAATCTGTTGCAAAATCCTCTGAACCTTCAGGACCTGGTCTATTTGGACGAATTTTAAAAAAGTGATTCTAAAATAACATGCTTTGAATGTATTTAGATTTTGTGTTGGTCTTTAATTTGCTCTTTGATTTTATGTTAAATTCTTAGATTGTCTTTTTGGTTGCAACCTTGTCATTTGTGCTGCTAACTGTACTGGAGAGGAGTCTTTTGAAATTGATTTTAAAATCTCAATAAGTCTTTAATATATTTTATATAATAAAATCAGTTTTTTTCTCAAAAATGTTTCCTAGGTAAAAATGCGAAAAAGACCAGTGTTTTAAAGTGTGTCAGTGGATTTAGCAGTATAGTAATATTTTTTTTACACTACACTTTATGAGTTAAAATATAACATAATCAGTGGCACTTTTAGTACATTTTGATTAGAATCTGTACTGGACCTTTAGTTGTAATTCTGGTATTGAGTTCCTCTTTCACCACTGAAAAATACATATGCAAATTGGTGTTTGAAATGTTGTGTTATTGTAAATTGCATGAAATGACACGCCTAAACAACACTGCTGAATATACTGTGTTTGAGGCTTGTTGGCATACAGGGGCCTGCACTGCCGCCAATGAGAAATAAAGGACACATTTTATTGAGTTTTGGGTGGTGCTGCTGAGAATATTGATGCCATCTCAGCCTGAGCAAAAGTTGCATGATGAGGAAAAGTCATTTGACTCTGATACTAAACTATGAAAGGCATGCGAGTCAAGATGAGCACAGAGCAGATAACACACAGGGCTGTGAAAACAAGGGTCAGAACTCGATCAATATGCAGAGTGTGTCTGTGGAAATAAGAGCTAGTATCTTGATTTAGGAACATGTTTGGCTTTAAGGCTAAAACAGCACAAAGTGTTTCCTTTAAACTGATGGTCACCACTTGATTTAGTAGATTAACCAAATAATACTTTATCATTGTTCAGTAACTTAGCAGATATGGCCAGCCAGAGGTGGAAAAAGTACTCAGATCTTGTAAGTAAAAGTAAAAGAACCAGAGTGTCAGATGACTCTGTTACAAGTAACAGTCCTGCAAACAAAATGTTACTCAAGTAAGAGTATTGGCCTTAAAATATACTTAAAGTATCAAAAGTATAAGTACTCATTATGCAGATTGGCCCATTTTAGAATAATACAATGTTTTGATGAGTATTGCTGCATTCAAGTGTTATCAAAGCTGGTAAAGGTTGAACAAATTGTAATTACTTTGTACGCTGCAGGGTAGATTGTGAATGTATCATTAATCTAAATATGCAGAGTAACCTAAGATAAATACATGTAGTGGAGTAGAAATACAGTACACGATTTATTTCTGAATTGTAGTGGAGTAAGTACAAAGTAGCATTAAAGGTGGGGTAGGTAATTTTCCAGCTCGAGTGCGCTAGAATTTGAAAATACACAGCCGGAAGAAATCTGCTACTTCCTTACAGAGCCCCTCCTCCAACACACACGAACGCGCACATGACCAATGAGGGCACGAGATAAGTTTGTGCACAGATGGAAGGCTGACAGGCAGGTAGGCCATCCAGTTATTTTAGCCGGGCCGGCCGGTCGTGCTTTTTACAGTATTACGGCTTCCACAGATGACATTTTTTTATGGATTTTTTGTCAAAGCACTTAAAATATTCATTGCTATCGGGATGTTAAGAGCATTCCATGGAATATAACAAAAAGTGTATCTCGAGCCGGTTTCTCAAATGTACCTACCCCACCTTTAAATGAATATGCTCAAGTAAATTACCTCAAAATTGTACTTAGGTACATTACTTAAATTTAGTTACATTACACCTGTTGGCAGCTTAAAATTCAAATGGTGGTTATTGCTAGCAGATGGGGGGGTACTCTCTGACACATACACACACACAAACACCACTATATATTGCATTACAGTAGCCTGAGGCCAACAAGACTTTTTGCCTCTCCAAGACACAATACTGGATTTAAAGTCCTTTAGTGATGCAAAACATTCACCACATTGAATTGAACTTTTAGCCAACTTCATCTCAACCGTCAAACACAGCATGACGGGACGCACATAGCAAACTTTTGCAAACAATAACACGAGTTGCGACAGTTTGGGGGAAAAAAAACATTGTACTCACGTTCCATCGAGTGATGAAGATTGCACGAGCGCTGATGAGATGACGACCGCGAGCATTAGCAGCACAGGTGGCGGTGCCATGTCTACACACCGGAGATAGAGCTTTGCAGCGGGGCAAGTTGAGCAGAGTGCACCGGAGGAGCACGAACTTCCAGACCAACTGACTGCAGGCCGTATGCAGAGAGAGCGGACAGTGATGTGCAGGGCAGGTTGCTCAAACGTTGTGGGGGTGGAGGCGGTGGTTGGCTTTTTAACTCCAAACCAACGCCACCCTTCCCTCTGGAGTCACTCCCCCAAAAATCCATTGGAGCTCGGCAGCCTCCTCCCTACCCGGCTGAAAAAAACCAGCTTAGACCAACTTAGCTGGTCAGGCTGGTCAAGCTGGTCAAGCTGGTCAGGCTGGTCAACCACCCTGACCAGCTAAATTGACCAGCCAGTAGATATTAGGCTGGAATGGTTGGCTGGTTTAGAGGGGTTTTGGACACTTTAGCTGGCCAGGATGGCCGGTTTCGCTGGTGCACCAGCTAAACCAGCGAAACCGGCCATCCTGGCCAGCTAAAAAAAACAGCATAGACCAGCATAGTATGCTGGTATGCTGGGCTGGTCACCAGCATCCATCTATCACCAGCTTACGTTTAATAATAGTATTAAATATACCATGCTGGAAGCTTACCAGGATTCCAGGTGACCAGCATACATTAATAATAATAATGCATATATCCTCCCCGGTGTCTCTAAGATAGCTGAGAAATGGTTGTCAAAACTAATCACCAAACATTTAGACAAAGGTTTCGCTTTGACTAATGACAAGAATTAGAACTAGTCTCCCAGTTCAAGAATCTTGGAGTCATATTGGACTCAAACTTAACTTTTAAGAAACACATTAAGAAAGTATCAAATACTATTAAATACAACTTGCAACATTTTAAACAAATCAGACCTTTCTTAACTGTCAATGCTGCTAAGTCATACCTCCACTGTATGATTCTATCCCATATTGAATACTGTTTTACAAACTGGTCATTTGCTTGTGCCACAACCCTTAAACCAATAGAACAGCTGTACAAGAGAGCTATCAAGGTGTTTGACAGAAAGCCTTATTCCTACCACCACCATCCTTGAAAAACACAATTTCTTGAGTTTTGACAAGTCTTTTAAAAGTATGTGTTTTATTTATAAATGTTTACATGGAATGGCCCCCCCTCCCTGAGGGGAATTCATCCACAAAAAAGATACTGGACACTGCACTAGGTCAGAAACCAGAGGAGACTGTGAAGTCCACCGCAGACGGACCAATTTTGGACAAAATGTCCTTTCCATTAAAAGGCAGCTCATTCTGGAATAGCCTCCCAACTGAGATACGGGATTGTCCCACTCTCAATAGCTTCAAAGGTCAATTGAAAGAATGGTTGAGAAACAAACCGTGCAATCACCGCTAAATGCAATTTAATACAGGGGTATCTTCTCTCACACTATGTATCTCTTGTATCTTCTCTTGCACTTTATATGTCGTTGCTGCTATATTGTATTACCATGTCATAAATACTTGTATTTATTTAGAGCTCTTGCTCTTTTTGCATATCATGTATTTGTTTTTGCTATGTTTGTAAAATGTCATTTTCTTAAATGTTTTATGTGAGGGACTGCGGATGGAAATTAGCTCAAAGCTAAATCTGGCATATTTACGCTCGACACATGTTATTGTTTTAAGTGTTCATTGATGTGCATTGTCCCTGCTAAATAAAAGATTCAATTAAAAAAACTTTTTCAGTGTCATCTATGGAGATTAATGAAGCATATAAACACCTATTGGTAGTTATTCAGGAAAAAAAGAATCTTTTAAAACTGACAGTTCGATGACTTCATAATATCAATTTACTGTCAAAGTACATTCAAGCAGGCTGTACTTAACTTACTGTACACAGTTGTTAGTGATACTGTGTGTAAGTATATTGGCAGCTACTGAACACTGTCATAGTCTATGTGAACCTAAACATACATTTACCATGGCACCCTGCTGAAAAAAACAGCTTAGATATTAGGCTGGAATGGTTGGCTGGTTTAGAGGGGTTTTGGATACTTTAGCTGGCCAGGATGGCTGGTTTAGCTGGTTTAGCTGGTTTAGCTGGTTTAGCTGGTTTAGCTGGTGCACCCTAAGCTAAACCAGCTAAAACGGCCATCCTGGCCAGCTAAAAAAACAGCATAGACCAGCTGGTATGCTGGGCTGGTCACCAGAGGGGTTTTGGACACTTTAGCTGGCCAGGATGGCTGGTTTAGCTGGTTTAGCTGGTTTAGCTGGTTTAGCTGGTTTAGCTGGTGCACCCTAAGCTAAACCAGCTAAAACGGCCATCCTGGCCAGCTAAAAAAACAGCATAGACCAGCTGGTATGCTGGGCTGGTCACCAGAGGGGTTTTGGACACTTTAGCTGGCCAGGATGGCTGGTTTAGCTGGTTTAGCTGGTGCACCAGCTAAACCAGCTAAACCAGCCATCCTGGCGAGCTAAAAAAAACAGCATAGACCAGCATAGTATGCTGGGCTGGTCACCAGCATCCATCTATCACCAGCTTATGTTTAATAATAGTATTAAATATACCATGCTGGAAGCTTACAATGATTCCAGGTGACCAGCATACATTAATAATAATAATGCATTTTATTTATGGGCGCCTTTCAAAGCTCTCAAGGACACCTTACAGAACATAATTAAAAACAAGCAACACAGAAGGTCAAACAGTAATTCGAGACTTAAAAAACAAAGACTTAAAACCAACAATCAGTTTAGAGGAATTATGATATTGAATACCCCAGTTTAAAAAGGTGGGTTTTCAGGCAGGATTTGAAGGTTGAGAGTGAGTCCATATTGCGGATGTCTTGTGGGAGAGAGTTCCAGAGACGGGGGCAGAGTGGATGAAGGCTCTTGACCCCATTGTTTAAATACTGGTATGATTATTTAAACCAGAGGACATAGGTTGGAAAACAGTGCTGCCCTCATTTTAAGTTAAGTTGTTGTCGCCACAGTTCCAGCCGTTGGTCTGCAGTGGAACGGATTACGTCAATTTCTAAACCAATATAATTATTTTGAATCAATATTGTGAGTCAAGTCGTTGGTTTATTTAGTATTCGCGTCGAGACGCCGGTTGACCATGACAGTGTTCTTTTTTCATTAATGACCGTCTCAATGCACATTATCCATTACTTAAGTTTTACAGTACGTCACATATTCCAGAATGTCTTTTTACAGCCCTAAAGGATAAGATGTACTATTGCTTTCAATCAAAGATGGCCATGGTGTGCAGGCATCACATGAGCTGCATTCAATTCCCAGTGTGTTGTGGGAGAAACATGCTGCCCAGTAGCTGCCAACATGAAAGTAAGGTAAAGCACAGAGGTAAAGCCTAGAAATCCGGTATTTAAAAAACACCGTTACACAAAAATGTTTCAAACAGTGAATCAAGCAAACATAGTGTGGGATCCTCGGTGCAAGCTGAAGGGACTATTCAGTGGACATTTACATTTCCGCAGCATCTGTAATAAACATGAACAGCTAGAACATCTCCTCCTTGAGTCCAATATTGACTGTTTGGGAATATTGGAATCTTGGCTAAAACAGTCGTCACCATCCACTCTTGTATCTATGTCAGGATATCATGTGTTTAGGAAGGACAGACTGAAGGGAAAAGGAGGGGGTGTGTTGCTTTTTGTTAGGAATACCATTACTTGTAGGGAGATTGCACTCCCAGCTAATATTGAGTTTGATTGTGTTGGTGTGGAAATCACACTATCTGAGGAAATGTCCCTCACCATGATTTGCCTGTATTGACAACCCACCGCTAAGGTGGATTTCTATGATCAGGTAAAACTCATGCTGAACTCCTGTGACTCCAGCAAAGAGCTAATTATTTTAGGAGACTTTAACATAAACTGAAATGACAAACAAAATAGAAAGAACTTAAAACGGATCACGGATAAACACAACTTAATACAACTAATGGATCAACCGACCAGAACAGGGGTCGGCAACCCGCGGCTCTCGAGCCGCATGTGGCTCTTTAAGCCCTCTACTCTGGCCCCCTATATTGGACTCGAACTTGACTTTTAAGAAAGTATCAAATACTATTAAATTCAACTTGCAACATTTTAAACAAATCAGACCTTTCTTAACTGTCAATGCTGCAAAGTCATACTTCCACTGTATGATTCTATCCCATATTGAATACTGTTTTACAAACTGGTCGTTTGCTTGTGCCACAACCCTTAAACCAATAGAACAGCTGTACAAGAGAGCTATCAAGGTGTTTGACAGAAAGCCTTATTCATACCACCACCATCCTTTAAAAACATAATTTCTTGAGTTTTGACCATTTTAAGTCTTTTAAAAGTATGTGTTTTATTTATAAATGTTTACATGGAATTTACATAGTGATGTGCAGGGCAGGTTGCTCAAACGTTGTGGGGGTGGAGGCGGTGGTTGGCTTTTTAACTCCAAACCAACGCCACCCTTCCCTCTGGAGTCACTCCCCCAAAAATCCATTGGAGCTCGGCAGCCTCCTCCCTACCCGGCTGAAAAAAACCAGCTTAGACCAACTTAGCTGGTCAGGCTGGTCAAGCTGGTCAAGCTGGTCAGGCTGGTCAACCACCCTGACCAGCTAAATTGACCAGCCAGTAGATATTAGGCTGGAATGGTTGGCTGGTTTAGAGGGGTTTTGGACACTTTAGCTGGCCAGGATGGCCGGTTTCGCTGGTGCACCAGCTAAACCAGCGAAACCGGCCATCCTGGCCAGCTAAAAAAAACAGCATAGACCAGCATAGTATGCTGGTATGCTGGGCTGGTCACCAGCATCCATCTATCACCAGCTTACGTTTAATAATAGTATTAAATATACCATGCTGGAAGCTTACCAGGATTCCAGGTGACCAGCATACATTAATAATAATAATGCATATATCCTCCCCGGTGTCTCTAAGATAGCTGAGAAATGGTTGTCAAAACTAATCACCAAACATTTAGACAAAGGTTTCGCTTTGACTAATGACAATAATTAGAACTAGTCTCCCAGTTCAAGAATCTTGGAGTCATATTGGACTCAAACTTAACTTTTAAGAAACACATTAAGAAAGTATCAAATACTATTAAATACAACTTGCAACATTTTAAACAAATCAGACCTTTCTTAACTGTCAATGCTGCTAAGTCATACCTCCACTGTATG